GAAATAGAAATATAAAATATATTAAAATCATTTACATTACTCAATTGTAAAGCTTCCCCACTGCTTCCATAATCTATAGAAAGTGTCTGACGGCAACTCAAAAAAGAAAAAGTATCCGATGAAAATCAAGTTACAATAAAAAGAACTCTGTGAAAATCTCCGACCCTTGCATTTATATGTCCATTTGTCAAGATGGGTGGAGGGGGTGATATATTGACATTGTTCCTTAATTTTATTTAACTAACTATAAGCCTGAATAGACAATGGTGTATGAAAATGATCAACCAAGTCAATACAATTGGCCACATCAGCCAAGGAAAGTTTACTGCTTGTGGCAAAAGAGAGTATCTCGGGATATTTCTATGAAAGAGGTTGCTTCTGCCATTGGTCATACCAAAACATTACTGAATCTCCAGATCCAATACAACAAGTTGCCACTTTTTTAAATTCACTTAATAGTTTGAGATGAGTTCTCCGCAACTAAGACCACTCATGTATGTAAGTTGGAAGATAATTTGTTATAATAGGCTTCTCAAGTAAGTTTCACCCATGGTAGATCCTCCTTATTGAATTTTTTTTTGAAGGTTTTATATCAAGAGAGTTTTATTATGGAGAGCCACATTATGAATGTATAATCCACCTTGGGATTTTTGCCTACAAACTTATCCTAAGAAATTAAAGCAGATCATTTATTCCCTTGCCTAAATACCATACAGAATAAGTTCCTAAGATATTTGTTAATTTGCTCGGTGATTCTTATAGCCAAAGTAAGGTACAAATGATGAAAATGGATAGAGAGGAGGATACTGATTTAATTAATTTAAGTCTTCCATCATATGACAATAAAATAGAGCAGCCAGTCAATCTTCTCTCAATTTTTTTGACAAATAGGATTGAAGTCTTCAAGTTTTGGTCTGCTAGTATTGAGAGGGAGATCAAAATATGTGAATGGAAAATATCCCAACTAGCATGAATGTTAACCAATGTACGAGCTTTGTCATGACTGACATTGAGAGGAACCATCACATATTTAGTATAATTAATTACCAGACCAGTTTGAGCAGCAAAGTGTCTCTACAGATTCATTACTTGTACAAGTAGGCTTTCAACACCAAGCATTACAAGAATTGTGTCATATACGTACTAGATGATAGAGAAGTCAGAAGATGATAAACAGGAAATGGGGATCTGATCAAGTCATTATTCATAGCCTCATTTAGGACACACTGAAGCAAATCAACAGGAAGCGAAAAATTAGAAGAGATAGAGGCCCTGTTATCTAACTCCTCTTTTACAGTGAAGCTGGCCTCCAGGGATTCCATTCAGTAAAACCGAGGAAGCACAAAAATTAGAGGAGATAGAGGCCCTGTTATCTAACTCCTCTTTTACAGTGAAGCTGGCCTCCAGGGATTCCATTCAGTAAAACCGAGGAGGTGCTAGAGAATAAAAATCAATTCCATCCAATTCAACCATCTCGCTCCAAAACCTCCATTCAGTAAATTGATCTCCTTCTTTAAACAAAAATTGAAGTTGTAATGTCGGGTAGGAGAGAAGCGTTACAACAGTTTTTCCTGTCAGATGGGGTAGGAGAGAAGCGTTACATGCGCAGAGATTCCTGTCAGATGAGGTAGGAGAGAAAAATTAAACCTCTTTTTCTTACATGAATACACATCAATACAAACATAGAGGGGTGAATAACAACAGTTTTTCCTATCAGATGAGGTAGGAGAGAAGCGTTACATGCGCAGAGATTCCCTCTCCTACCAAAGGCTTACATTTTATTTTATTTTTATATCATTTTGAATGGCTCATAAATTTGGTACCAAAATTTGTTTCTGAAACTTTTTATTTTTTACATCTTTGAATTCTTGGCGAATAGGCCGTTAAAGCAAGACCGGCCCTGAATATATTTGAACAAGTTTAAAGTACCGATTTCACAAATTTCACAAATTTTATAATAACATATTGCACTCATTTCAAAAAATATTTCATATTAACATATTTCACTCATTTCACATATGATATTTCACTCATTTCAAAAAATATTTCATAATAAGATATATCATTCATTTCAAAATAAATTTCATAATAACATATTTAAAACAAATTTCGCTCATTCCATATAACGTATTTCACAATTTTCAAAACAAATTTCATAATAACATATTTAAAACAGATTTCACTCATTCCATATAACATATTTCACTCATTTCAAAAGGATATCATAATAACATATCCCACTCATTTCAGAAAGATTTCGTAAATAACACATTTCACTAATTTCATACTAACATATTTCACTCATTTCAAAAAGGATATCGTAATAATATATTCCACTCATTTTAGAAAAGATTTTGGAAATAAAAAAATTCACTCATTTCATACTAACATATTGCACTCATTTCAAAAAGATTTCACAAATACATTTTTCATTATTTGCTCCACCTTCCTTTGAGCTGAGCACAGATGTGAGGGTCTCCGCGGCATCGGTTCTTTCAAGCTTGCTGGCGTCGTCGTCGCTGGAGAGATTGGCCGCTAGCTCATGAGCGCGAGAGAACAGTGGGTGCCAGAGGAGACGCCCTGTGGACAAGCGCTTTGAGGGCAGGGCCGCGAAAAAAGTCGCGGATCTGGCAACAGCCAAGCACTAGTGTAGAATCAAGCTTTAGTCCTGGTTCGTAAGGACCTTTAGTGCTGGTTCTG